GAACTTGCCAAAAGATGTATGAATGCTGACATAAATAAGAGACCAAAAATTAAAGAAATTAATGAACTTTAGGATCATTGGAATCTTATTTTGAATTATGGTCCAAAATATCCTGAATATAAGCGTGGAGGATATGCTTCTTTAGATGATCCTCTTAGATATTACAAGGGTGAAGATTCTCACCATGCGAGCTTGGATGCAGAAAGGAGAATAGTTGAAAATAAATTTTCTCATTATGGTTCGGAATTTGATTAATACACAAAACGAAAGCGTTTAAATTTAGAGTACGATGAAAACGCTGGTCGAAATTATTATTCGTACTTTGATTCATTTGAAGAAAGGAAACAAATTCAATCCGAATTTATAGAATCCGATAAAATTAATAAATCAACAAACATTAGCACACAAATTTATGAAAATTCGGTATGCACGAAATGGAATTTTAAACAAAGTATAAGTCAAGCTTTAGAAAATTTATCTGATAAAAGTAAGGTTTGTTATTTGTCGTTTATAATTTTTATCTCATAATGATTCACAACCCGATTATTCCTGTTTGATCAACATGTGGTCTCGCGACAGTTATTCAATTAGGATAATTGCGCGACGTAGTCGCGCTAAAACCAGGAACGTAATACGTACAATTAGATTTAACACTACAATTCGTATACTGCCTTTTAAAATATATAAAAAAATAAGCTCCAGTATTACATAAGCCATTTAAGTTGGTAAATATCATTCCTTTTTTTTTTTCATTGTAATAAGAAAACTAAACCTTAATCCCGTCCATTGTAATAAGAAAACTAAACCTTAATCCCGTCCATTGTTGCTTTCCATTTTAAACTATTTTAATTTGAAGAATTGACATTTTTCTATTAACAATAATAAATAAGCGTGTACTTGTTTTCGCTCGGTAATACTGTAATAAAAAGTAAAGCTGAGTAATCCAGAAATTCAATTATACTAACTTATATTACTGTATTATTACTATATAGTTTGCCACTTTTAATCATATGCGATAATAATCCTAACCAAGAAAAACCTGCAGCTAACGAGAAAGTACAGCCATTACACAAAACCAGTCTATAAAAGGCTATTAGTAGTCATGCGTGAGAAAATTGTTCAAAAATCAGTGTCATGAAAAAATCATGATCTGTACAAACGTATAATCCAATCAGCTTTAAGATTTTGCTTTCGGTTTATTTGCCAATAAACCATACACTTACGTTCCTGGTAAATTCAGCTCATAGAAATGATTGCGGTTAGAGTTAAGTGTCGGAAAAATGGTATAGATCCAAGATGTGGTGTTAACTTATTATGAAATTGCATTTGTTATCAGAATAATTATGCTTAATTTAGAAAAGTTTATCTTTTTATTTCTGTTTTGACATTAGGATAGCTGCGCGACATAGTCACGCTAACACTGAAAATGTGATAGTTAAATTTAACACTACAATTCGTATACCGTTTTTTGAAAGCTAATGAATATTTGTTTTCTACTTTTTCGAATTTATTTATTATTTTTTTTCAAATCATTAACTAAAATATATAAAAGAATAAACTCCAATATTTTGTAAACATTTAAACTGTCAGCATACTACAAATGTGTACATACAAGGTTGTGCTCCAGATGATCATGCGATAATCCAAAGATTAATTAGTAGATTTTTTTAAATTACTGAAAAATAATCTTAAATATATCAAAAATGATGT